GAGAGAAAGACACGCCAGCACCAGTAAGAAGGAAAGCATGGCCAAGTGAGTCCCTCACCCGCTGGTGATACAAATCACAGTTTCATTCACTCAAAAAACATCGAATATATGATAAGGGGGGTATTAATTAGCGTCACATTGCGGAGTCTACATCTCTATGTGCTTTCTTCCCGCGGAACTTTTGACGTTCGATCCCTTCCTCGAGGAAAGACGACAGCAGCGCCGCAAGCCGCACATATTGCAAGTTTCGCCCGCAAGACCTCAATTTCCGTAAGACGGCGCGTTGACCAGCAATGCCATCAGGCACCCGCCGATCATACCGGCAATGGGGATCGTCATGACCCAGGAGAAGAACAGGAGGCCGACGCGCTGCCAGTTGACGGCCTTGTAGGTCCCGTTGCAGAGCCCGACGCCGACGGTGGCGCCGGTGATGCACATGGACGTCGACACGGGGAGCTTGTACTGGGAGAAGATGAGGATGGTGACGGCGGCGCCCATCTCCATGGAGGAGCCGCGGGACGGCGAGTGGTAGGTGATCTTGTTGCCCATGACCTTCATGATGTTGTAGCCGTAGGTGATGAAGCCGATGCAGATGGTGGCGGCGATGACGGCGATTTGCCAGAGCGCGACGTCCGCCTTGGAGGCGACCGTCTCGCCCGTCCTCCATGCTCCCCACATCCCGGCCCAGACGCCCACGGCGTTCCCGACGTCGTTGGCGCCATGGGCAAAGGAGGCGGTACAGGCGGTGATGATCTGCACAAAGGAGTAGAGGTACTCGACTTCATTCTTGTACATCGTGGCCTGGAGAGATGGTTAGCAACCTGGCTGCCGATATCCAATTACAAGGAGGATATATAGATGATAGATAGATAGATAGATAGATAGGATGATCAGGGAGGGACTGACATGACCGTAGACTTTGGCCATACGACGCCCTTCAGGCGTGCCGAGAATACCAATTTGGGCCGAGTGGATATCGTAATAGAAACCTGAGAGACGTCGTCAGTCAATACAGCCGATTGTGGCAGGTTTTCGGTAGATTTAGGTGCCTTACCATAGATTCCAGCGATTATCACGTAGGCAGGGAGACGATTTAAGAGGGCAATCATGTTGTGCTTCTCGTAGATCTCCCCAGTACCCGCTCGGTGCTTGTGCACGTGGCGCATTGCCTGTTGTAGTCGAGAAAGGTTAGTTGGGATCTCTCAAAATCGCGAGGTGGAAGGTTGTTGTTGTTAAATGGTGACTGGACATACCCATCCCAGAGGACCGCGGCTCTTGCGGAGCTCCGCGTGGTGCCTTTCCTCGGCGCGCCGGAGAAGGAGTCGGTACTGAAGTTCGGGATTGTTGGCCGCAAGAGCGTCTTCCAAGCTGCGTTGTTGAGCTTCGGTTCGGCTCTTGTTCTTTTCCTGATTATCGTCCAGGCTTCTGTTAGGGGAGATCTCTATAGCATCGTGGTTGTCCTCCTTGGTAGGCAGTTGAGCTGGAGCCATGAGCTCTCCAGTATCATCTTCGTCGTGTTGAATAACAGCGTAGTTGGGCACACGAGCCTCGGCTGCGTCGAGGGGTGGCACTCGTAGAAAGAGCGCAGGTCCTTGCCAGATGTCGGTGATTTTGAGCGTGTAATCCTTCTTGATGACTTTGCAGAAGACGTAGGGGAGGAAGAATAAGGCAGAGAGGAGGGCCAACCCAAAACCAGCACCGAGGGTCACACCGGCAATCCAATAGCCTGGCTTCTTGTCCAGACCAAGCTTCGGGGAGCCCTTGTATACAATCGAGAGCGTGCAGATTGTGCCTGCAATCAAGAAAAAGCACGGCGAGGTGTAAACGGCCCATTTGACGGCGTCTCTCCTGATATGGACGGTCTGGCCCAAGGTTAGCATACTCTCGTCCCTCCACCTCATCAGACTGCATCGAGGTCAAGCAACTGCTTACGTATTTGATGAGCGAGAAGATAACGGCTCCAAAGAATCCGGATATCACAGGGGCCATGCACAATCCAGCAAAGATGGCACCGAGTCCGGACCCGCCGCTCCAACCCCATTCGACTTTATCGGATCCGACGGCAGCGACACCGACACCGGCGATAGAGGAGACCAAGGAGTAAGTCGAAGATACGTGAGCAGAGTTGCGCGTACACCACATGACCCAGATTGCCGCACCAGCGGAGGCACAAGCGAAAGCGAGCAGCTGGACATCAGCGTCGCCGTTGAATGATTCAATAGGGATACTGATCTTGTAAGCCGAAGCCCAGCAAATCACGGTGAGTTGGTAGATGGCAGGTTGAAGATGATGATGTTAAATGTGGTGTTTATGGCCGGTGGAGATTTTTGAGATCTAAGCGACTTACATTCCATTCCTAATAGTAGAAGCTGTTCGGGCACCGACTGCCAGAGCACCGGTCATTTCGAAGACCACGCAGAGCACCATGGCCTGGCGATACGTGACGGAGCGCGACGACACAGAGGTAGCCCAGGCATTGGCAACATCGTCTGCACCGGGTCAGGCACTGTTTACTAGCTGATCTAGACTCTCCCAAGATAGGCGAGGCGCCAAAAGACTAGTGAGCGAGGAAGACGTACTTGCACCATTGTTATACGCTTCGAGGAGCGCAAAAATCGTCCCCAGCGCGAAGATGTAGGTGTAATCGGTTAAGACGGCCATCTTGTCGACGGTTCAGCACCTGGTGTTGGGGTTGGTGTTGGTGTTTGTAGTCGGTAGCAGTGGATATTCTCCCTCATGACAGGAGGACTGAAATGCGGGAGCGACCCCGGGTGATATATAAGTTTTCTCATTTCCAAGATAGGTACTGCTTGCATGCCTATTCTTTGCTCTCTCAATATCACCTTTTTCCGGTAAAGCTAGATGGACATGGACGACACAGACTTCGGCTTCCCCCACGTGTGCTCGTGCGCAACCAATGCCCGTAGAACTAGGGTCGAGGAACCCGCAGGGTGGTGTGAATCCCAAGAAGCTGGGCGTCGGATGGAAAGCTGGGCCATCTGGGCCAGCTGGGCAATCTCGGCAAGCAAGCTGGGCCATCTGGGCAAGCTGGGCAAGCCGGCCAGATTGTACTACTAAAGGTGATTATTGACATAGGCCTCGGCAAAGAGCGTCCGAAGTACAGAGTTGCAGTGAGTGCATATCCCGACTACCACTATGAGTGGATGGATGCTACAGGGGCTGTAGCTGAAGGCGACAGCTCCGCGCTTGCCATATAGTGTACAAGTAGAGTTCCGGAGTTATAACTTGGAGTAGTACAGTACGACTCACCTGCAGCGGCTACGGAGTACAGTACTGTACGGACTGTACGCTACGGACGGAAGTCTAGAAGTGGCAGTCTCCCGAATGGCCGAAGGGGTGTAGTCCAATGCCGGAAATTTGGCTTTGCCGAATATACTGCTAAAATATGCAACTATTAGTTCTCGCAACACTTGTACTACGTTTGGTCGACAGTGTTTTGGTTTGACTCTAAAACTTCGTCCCACTGAAATAGGGGATGGTTTGGTTATGCTTCGAAAGTATTTTAGTTTGATTTTAAAAGTTCGTACTACTAAAATAGGGAAAGGTTTGCTTATGTTTCGAATCGATGCTTGGCACTCTAGTATCATGATGCAATAGGTGTCTTAAGAGGTTTAAAATATAATAGCGTCTTCGTCAACTAAAAGTACAGACCACATCCTGGTTTTACCGAGAAACTTTTACCAAAACCTATTTTGGCGCTTTGGCCCGCGGTGTACGCATAGACTCCGGGGTAAATGAGACCCTTACCCTCCGTACTCTTCCGCCGTAAGAAGGGCACTACGATACTTTGCCTATCAGAGGTTTCCCCTTACGAACCTTCAGCTCTTTCTTGCGGCAAAGAGTTTCAAAAGCCGAAATAAAATCAATCGGCGCCCGGCGGCCTCCGGAGAGAATCCCTTTTCCTTTACCGGCGGTTGAAATACCATTTTACGAACCTTAACGCTTTCGTCGATTGAATCGGCTTCATTTCCGTTATAATTCGATTTTTTTTATAAATGATTTAATTACAAGTTTGCATTTAATTTAAGTATCTGCTTAAGATGATCTACTAGCAATACTAAATTATTAATCTCTCGGAACCGTTTTTAGAAAAGATAATCATAAGATGATCAAATAATAATTTAAATAATTTCTTCTTTGATTTTAATATCTTTTTCTCAATAATTTCTTCGACACGATAATGTAATATATATCCGATAAAAAATTGAAATTATCTTAATACTTTATAAATTCTCTATGAGCTTTAATTATAGCCCAATAACGCTTTAGCATACTTTTAATAAGCGCTCGAAATTAAAATCCGCCGACCTTTTTTTTAGTTATACGAAGTAAGGGATTATCAAAGTACTGCTCGATTAAGATAGTTTGAATATAAATCAAAACAAAAGGAATATCTTAACCGTTGTACTTTCGTAATTATTACTTTGTTTAGGATATTCTAAGCGAGGTCAGCTGACTTACCAGAACTTTCAGCAAATAATTAGAATATTCGTTTCTGTTTTTAATTATAATTCTATTATATATTATATGAATTATATAAAAGGCTTTAGAACTACTTAATAATATATATAAGACTTGAAAGGCCTTTTGTATTTACCTTAAGCAAGCAAGCAATTCAAATTCGTTTCCTTTATATCACTTTCCAAATCTCACATTTTATTATACGATTTACCGTTAGAGTAATATCACCTTTCATAGTTGTTCAGCTTTCAAATAAAGAATTTCCAAAATTAATCTTATTTATTATTAAAATGATTTTAATTAAATTTATGTTTACCGTGCTTTTATAAGTAGCGTATTTAACTACCTTATTATTCTTAAATAGCTAGCTTGCTGACTTGCGCATTGCTTTAGTATTTCTGCAGTTGTTGTGTTTATTTACGTCGGGCGGGTAGCAGGCGAAGCCTACCGCCCTGGGACCTCCCATGGGGTACGGCGACGTGCTAAGCTAAGGAGTTACATACAAGAAGGCTCCAGAAAGCAATTCATTGTAGTATTTCTGCAGTGAGCGCACAAAAGCAAGCTTTTAATTGTATAAATGAGGCCGAAACCGAAGCCGTATGCCGCCCAATCGCTAGCATAGACGCTAGCTTCAGTGGAAGGCTCGTAACTGCTTATCAAATTATTTATATAAAGTCTTTTCAAACTTTTAATTACACCATACATCATATTTGCTAATACTTGTTAAACTAAAGTGCTTTCTGACTGATAATAATTCCGTCGCTTCCTTCCGTATAATATGCAATGATCGCAGAAGTCTTCGCGAAAATGCTTGTGCTATAGTATGCCAATTAATCTAACAGCCTTTCGATAGCTTTTCTTAAATGCATGCGAAAGACTTTAAGCGTTTGATCGTGATCTTCCAGCATCGATCGACGTGATTCACTCGCGTGGGCGTCTTTGATTGAAAGGAGGGAGGCGTAAAAGAGTTTATATAAAACTCGTTCCACCGCTGAATTGGCTTCAATTCGTTTGCTTTTGATATTTCTGATATCAATCAAAAGTTTGGGATATTTGCTACATTTATACCGATATTACCTCCCTTTGTAAATATATATGGAAAGTAAAATTTTGCAATTTCTTTAACGAAAGCTTGAATTATTAAATTTATAACGATTCAGCCTTGAATAATATGTTTAAGCAAGCGCTACGTAATACTTAGGCCTATTATTACTACTAGTTGTAGTAGTTGTACTATTACAACGTGATAGGCATATGGGTTACACCCTGAGGGCCCGAAACGAAGGCTTTTACTAAGGGAATTAGGACTCTCGAGGATTTCGAGGTAAACTATGGAAAATCGAAGAGAAGCGTCCTATTGGATCGGAAATACAATATAATTTTATCGACTACTTTCGAATTCTATTCGATGGGTATTTCAATGCTGTTTTCCTTGACTTTTTTTTCCACGATCGTTACCGATTTTATATTAGATTCTTTTTCAGATATACCGTAAGCGAGGCGGAGGTGTAATATACTATTACAACCTGATAGAATAAAAGCTTATAAAAATAACAAGAACTTACCTTCAGGGTGTAATACTTTGGCCTACCGAGGTACTACGTAAGTTGTAGTTCAGAGTACACTTACGGTATACGTAGTAAGTGAATCAGTACAGCAATAAAGTTAGTAAGACAAGGAGTATGCGAAAAAGTTTTTTTTCTCGGATATCGATCGTCTTACTCCGTACATGACACGTTTTGCATCTTAGGCTCCGGGATACGTATCACTTACTCGTTTATCACCCCCTTTCCGAAACCAAAGCGGAAGTATGATTTACAAAGTGCTGATAAGAGGATTAACCAATAATATTATAGAGACTCACTTAATGCAGTTTTCTATAAAGTGCTCATGGGATTACTATGCAGCCCGCACAAGGAATCTTAATGGCAGTATGAAGGGCCGAGGTAGAGCGATTCAAGACTTGATTAGATTCTGCATCTCACGACTCTTGTTGTCCCTTGGCTCGAGGCCTAAGAACTCCGTATTTCTTCTCCACGTGATGTTAAGCTTGGCATGGCCTCAACTAAATCGACCATACAGAATCGCTATATCCACTACGTAGATAGATAAGCTTAATGGGGCAGTTTCGGAGCACAGAAAAGGACGTGTACTACGGACATTCGCAGCGGGTTTGAGTCTTGGCTTTAAATTAGTATCCGGAGAATTTTCCGCAAAGAGCGGCAAGTTCTTTGAAGTTGAAGTTTAAATGCCTAAGAAATCTGTTGAAGTTTAAAAGGCTAAGGCCGGCTTGCGGGCTGTACAGCGTCATAGGCGTAAGGTGTTATACCCTGAGGGTACGAAACAAAGGTTTTACCAAGGGAAATAGGATTTTCGAAAGGGTCGAAGTACCACGGTACAGGCCTAAGTATTACTCCTCGAGGGTGCCTTAAAAGTTTAGTTTCCACTTTAAACCCCCTGTTTTCCCTACCCTCGAGGGGTAATACTTACGCCTGCGACGTAGTATGTTAACGTTGCATTTCTGAGGTTTTTTTTTTGTCCTAATAATAGCGCTGACTTGTTAGTAGTACCTTCGGGCCTTCGGGCTTTCGGCAACAGTCAGTCCAATCAAGTGTCTTTTTAAAACTTACATTAATAATAACCCAATAAATGATAAAGCTATAGTTTTAAAATTTTAGTACCTGGAAAGAGCTCGGTTGCATCGATTGATACATATAATTCTTGATTATAAGACTGTTTTCGTTATTAAGTTATTCAAGTTGCAAATCGTGAAAAAACTGATGTCTTTAAATTTCTATTGAAAATGATCGGAAATCGCGATTTTGATCAAGAATAAGTCAATAATAATAAGAGCTTTAGTAAGAAAACTTAGATGCACGAAATGGTAAATAACGTATACTTTTTTTATTAAAATACTTAAAATAATAATTATTACTCAAAAAGTGCGATTGTAAAGGCGAAAAAAGCTCGGATAATTAAGCGAAAATTCAAGAATATCAACTTCCCGATCATATTTATAACTTGAATAAAATAATAAAAATAAGGGCTATAGTAATAGAAATATGATTCACAAGTCTGCCTTATCAATATCATTCTAAATATTAATTTTTATTTAGATTTCTTGAACAAGATACGATCAATAATAGGATATATAAATTCTTCGATACAAAATATATGAT